TTCCTCATATGGGCAATCTAGAACAACAAGTCATAATTTTAGGATAATGGATCACAGAATTAAAACAGAAATAGGAGAAATTATTTCTCTCAAATGGTCATGAATCTGTGAAATTCATTATCCCAGAGAGTAGTGGATGCTGGGTCATCGGGTAAATTTAAGGAGGAGATAGACAGATTTTTAATTAGCAGTGGGTTAAAGGGTATGGAGAGTGGGCAAAAAGTGGAATTGAGGCCGAGATGAGATCTGCTATGGTCATATCCAATGGTGGAGTTGGCTTGAGGGCTGAATTGCCTACTCCTGCACCTAGTTCTTATGTTCAAGTGAATGTTGATACTGTAAAACATCAAAGGAGCATCCTACAGAGGACATCAAGGGGCTAGAAATGATAAAATTCCTTAGGCTGTATACACCAGAGAAGATTTAACATCAAATGTACATTATATATATAAAACTTGAATTTTCAGTGTACTGAAAGAGCTTAGTATGGCGCACTCTACAGTGAAGGAAAATTCAATGTATTACACTGTATGTAAAGTCAAATTTGAAATTTTGTCCCATTGAAAAATTATGCAAAAATGTCAACTCATGATCTGTAAATTTATTCCAATTCTACCATTCCCATCTTTTCATTTATGAATTCATGCTCTGAGCAGCCAGCAGGGGGCCACATTGGAACTACAGTCCAGAACTACCGGAAGCAAATTCCAGAACCCCAAATAAAGTTGAAGTGATGGCCGTTCACATTTCTACAGCATGAAATAGATTATACCAACCTGCCCATAAGAAATTAAAGCCAGCGTCTGTGAATTCTTTTTAAAAAAGGTGCTGTATAGCAATACTTAACTAGTGGCTTCTTCATGACTGTGTTGACTTCTCCAAGTGGCATTTCTTTAGAACATCAGCAGTTCCTCAAGGAAGCATGCTAGATCACCTTATATACTTGTTCATCAAAAACCAGGCAGACGTTCTGAGAAGTGGCACTCTGCTGATGACAGCCATCTTTACAAAGTGGTCATTTCCCTTGCTGCAAAACGAGTAGAACCACTATTGGTAGAAAACTTAAACTATTGGTATAAAAATGGTGTGTTACCTTCACATCTGAGAAAACCTAGGTCAAGACTGGTAATAATGTTTCCTACCCAGCTCTATTCAGTTACAAAGATCTGCTGCTTATCTTGGCAATTACATTACTTAATGAACATTAACATTGGAAAAGGCTTAGGAAAATAGAAATTCATAAGAAAGTTCAATCCTGATTGTTCCTGTCTTAAAATTACGTCTGACAAATGATACAGCCTATCAAGTGGTACTCAGGCCTATGTAGAAGTCCAAATACGATGTGATTGCTATTGGAAACCTGCAATCTCTTGTTTGTGACTCAAGAAAATGCCTCATGTTCATCTGTGTTCCTAGCTGCCATATGACTTTGCTGTAGTTATTTACTGCTGAACTCCACTATGGTGTCACATAGCATTAACTTTTCTGCTGGTGTCCAAGGGCTGCACTGGGATTCAGCTCTACAGACACCAATATCCTCTTCATATATCTGTCTCAAAAATACAACTTAGTTTAGGGACACACTGCAAAGCTCTCTACTGCACCACACAACCAGCCTTTTCAAGAGGACTTTAGAAGGAAGAGATATATAACTGAGCTAGGATTGACCAGACAGTGAATGAGCTCCCATTTAACAATTTTAATTAGAATTTGATTATACAGAATTAAAGTTTTTCTTTTTGGATGAAATAAATGGAATTTAAAAAAGAGTTTTACACGAGGCTTTTAGATTTTTCTAATGCATTGCTCAGAACTCCAGACAAACCATAATTGTTCTTGATTATTAGTGACGCACTACTTCAACCTTGAGGGATGTTGTAACAATTTTTTAAACATATTCCACTTAGTTCCGTAAACAATCATATCTCCATATTGTAGGCACTCCGTAATGGACTAGGCAATAAATGTACTGCACACTAGCACAATATGAATTAGGCTTTTCGTCATACCCCATACAGTGACCTACATCATGGCAGCACAAGAAAAAAAGTTGTTACCTCCTCAAATATAACACAAAATGCAGACCATCAATACAAGTTATGCACAAAGTTCAAAACAACTAAAAATACATTTAATTTTGAACTACATGAACACACTTTCTCCCCCACACTATGAACAGCAAAAAAAAAAGGATTTAAGAAATTCTGCCATAAAAGTTAGGAAAATGAATAACAGTCACCGGCGAGATTAATATTCAGTTCCCCAAGCTAAAAGAAACCATATAATTTGGCAACACTAGCAAGTTACAGAAACCAGAGAAATACCAAGAAATATTCAAAATATTTTTTCCTTCCTCATATTTAGCTAAAAGGTGCTTTACAGGTTCCCTTTCAGGTTTGTGAAGTAAGTGGGTGAAATATGCAAAATGCCTGACATAAGTTCCTCTTTCACAATAGAAAGTAATCAGATTACCACTTCAATCTATTTTACAGGCTCCAATGTGAATGCCAAACTTGGGATCATTTAATTTTCCACATAAACTCACTCAAATATTAGCCTGCTTTCAGCATTAGAAGACGAGCTCAATTTAGATCCAAACGGAAAAAAGATTTTAAAGTGTAACCATTTTTTCTGGACTACTACCCATTTCCGCTTTATTAGAAACAAATATACTTATGAAATCTTTACCAAAAGAAGAAATTTACTGCACAGAAATGTGAGGGGTACAATTTGAAAAGAAAAAAATGAGGAGTGGCTAACAAAAACTAAATGGTACACACAACTTTAGAAGATGTTGCAAGAACAGAAAGACCTGGTAATTCACAAACAAAACTTTGAAGTGTCTCAACAAGTTAATAAGACCATTTAATAAAAACATACACAATTGCTGGTTTTATGAGCCATGGAGTGCGAAAGCTGAGATATTAGGCTAAAGCTTTATAAACAGTTGCGCTTCAGGTGAAGCAGTGTATCCAATTCTGCACAGCACACCATAGGATGGATGTCAAGAAACCAAGCTGATGCACTAAAATGATACTAGCAATGAAGGGCTTCAGGAATGTAGAGATTACAGTAATTGAACTGTTCTCCAGAGAAGGAGACTAAAGAATCCAATTGTAGGTGCTCAAAGCTATGAACTGTTTGGATACAGCAAACAGGGAAATTGTTTTGACTGGTTGAAGTATCATACCAGAGAACACAGCTTTATATAATTAAAAGAGCCAGAGGGGAAAGGTGGACGGAACTAGTGAGTAATTATGTATTACCTGAAAGGGTGATGAATGTAAATTCAATAGAAACTGTCAAAAGGGAACTGAATACTTACCTCAAAAACAAAAACAACATGCAGTATACAATGGGTATTGAGACTAACTAGATGGCTCCTTGTAAGAGGAATTGGCGCAGACACAGCAGATCAAATGGTCTCATTCCATGCTCCATATTTCTATGGGGCCTCAGTCTCAGATGGTTTACAAAATGTTAATCTTTGATTCATCCAATAGCATGTACAAACTACAATGGAGCTACAGTACACAATGCACAAAACAGCACGTGGACATTGAAATAATACCATAGCAAAAATATACAGGGCAGCAAAAGTTGATCAACAAGGACGTACTGAACAGTCATGACTATGCAACACCAGGTGTCATTGTGGAATTCCACAGG